ATATATATATATATTATATATACACACACACATATATATATATATATATATATATATATATATATATACATATACATATACATATTTATATGTATATTTGAGATACATACTCAGATTTCATTTTTCTTGTACAGTATAACAAATTAACGTATGTGTTGTAACAACTTATGCGGTTAAAAATGCTTCCTTCAGCTTATTTAGTCTTATCTACAAGTGTTTTGGTCCGCGTTCGACCCAACATTTACGCAAAAATAACAGTTAGTTCATCTAGTCTCATTATATCTCAACACACGTTACATACTCGGGACCAGTTTTTAAGTACTTCGTAGCATGCGCTAAATACCTAGTGACGCGGGAGGCCAAACATGTGGCAGATGTAAACGTCCTCAACCCCATATAATTCCAAGTGATAAGATACAGAGATGTTAAGGAATAATATTCATTGTTAACTAGTTTGTATTTACATCGAGAGAGCACTGTTGCCTGGAGTTGAATGCAGTGCAACAAGACCTCACTGCCGTGTATTCCTATCTAGCGACATTAAGCGCGGAATTTTAAACTTTGCCATACCTGCCCGCGAGATGAACAAAATACTGCCTGTACTGATGGGGTGCTATCCTGAGCTAATCCAGTTCAAGTATCAATGTAAATGTTTATTTAGATACATAGTATACAAAATGTCAACATACCACTCACATTACAACGCTAGCTACTACAAAACACACCACGTGATAGCTCTTTGCATCCAGGAAACGCAGTACATGGTCCCTCTCTGCACTACAATTTGTCCATTCGAAGAAAGAATCAGGATCAGCTTGTATCTTTACAATCAACTCTTTCAAAGCCGCTGTTTGTTTGGCATTCAATGTATCAGGGACCGTCATAGTTCGACAGGGATCTAATAGAGAAAATATATTGAACTATATATGTATGTATCGAACGATATATGCAAGGAAATTCCACAAACAAATACTCTCATATTAGTAAAGGGAGAGCGGACGAGGGACCAAATACGAATGAATTTTTCTCGAGAGGATAAGTCGTGACATTTTTACGACATATGACACCTTTCGATATAAAATACGGATCTGAGTGATTTGTAAATACACGCCCAAAATTCGAATACACCACAAGAGAAGTGAGAAGAGACCCAAGACAGATTGAATACACAGTCAAGACTAGTTGCAATCTCCTCTGGCTATTTATTTACGAAGTGCTCCGGGCAGTGACTGTCGTAAACACTGCGACGCGCACCCTAAAAGATTCGTTGCGAATCACTGCATCTTTACACACAGATAAATTAATGTGATGTGTAGCATAACTTTGTATAGAGCGTTAAAGAGGATAATACACATTACTCGGACATAACCCGGCGTCTGTATGCATCTTCACACACAGATAAATCAACGTGATGTGTAGCAGCCTTTTGTATAGAGCGTGAAATAGGAAAATTCACACAATACTCGGATATTGAATAGGTGTCGGCAAGAGACCTAAGACAGTCGGTGTACGTTTTCCACGTTTAATCACTGAGCAACTATAATCTATAATTATACTTGTCCACCGTACGAGGAACACTGCAAAGTGGTTCATAAGCATACAGTATGAGGTTGGGTCAGTATGCGTTCAGTAGCACGGCACTCCTCATGACTGTGGTGGTCAATGCCTGGGTACAGAAAGAACAGTTCTACGCAACCTGTGTATACCTGTCGAAATCCAACACATTTTCATTGCTGGCTTATAATGAGATGATAGTCTGTGTTCTGCTGCTGGGGAAAGTGCTGTTCAAAGTGTTCTTCGGAGAGTTGAGAGCCACTGAAGTCGAGGTACGTATATAATTTTAATGCCCACTATGACCCTATTTTCATGGCCGTGCGGTCACGTCGTGTGTGTTGTGCCTACAAAAGGTGAGAATTAATGGGAGAAATGCGAGAAGAGCTAGATAAAATTGACATCTAGAGGGTGAACTCGCACGATTCGATA